CTTCTATATACGATGTTTCTAATATATAACTATAATTACGAAATATAAATATTTCATGCAGAATTTTTTGATAAAACGTATAGAAAATATGATATTATCTGTACCTTTACATTCAAAGAAAATTTGGTATTAACTAGAACAGATGTTAAAATAATAAATTTCTTTTTTATATCTTTCGTAAATTTTGCAATTTCTCAGTAGAAACTTTTCTAAACTTTCCTAAATATGACAAGAAAGCACGAAGACCGTGGCTTCATCGAAACAACGTCGTTATCATTAAGATCAGTAGATTTGGCTTATTTTCAGGGGTTTACTTGTTTAATATGTCTGTGGGATACGTCCTTTCAAGCATACGCGGCATATATTGATCGTATATATCATTCTATCCTTTATAATAAAATTAAAACAAATATCCTGCATATGTGATTTAACGATAGAAAAACACGATTGTATCAAAGATAAGTTAAAGAACGCAGTAGGCGTAGGTTAAGATATCAGCGCAACGAGTCATAGTAAAACTTAATGCAACTTAATCCGCCCAATTAAAATCCACGCGACGCGACGAATTCAGCGCGAACGCGCGCGCTGCGTGTCTGTCAGTTAAGTTAATAGCCGTTAATCTCAAACCGTATTTGCTACGATCTGCCTACGTGACAGACGTGTACCACAACTGAGGATTGCGTTTCCTCGCACGTATCGCTCGATGTGTTATTTACGTACCGTTATCAAAGTTGCAGCTAATCGAATGAAAATAAAAATGATACTTCGTACCGCAAATAATTTCTATATCGATATATTCTCTTAATTAAGAAGAAGACAATCGTTTATAACGAATCACGATCGCGTTCTGCCTTTCAGGTGTCGATGATTAATTACACGTTGCTCTCTGCTAATTTTAGAGCGGAAACGAGACATTCATGAGCGACGGGAACAATGGCACTAGCTGGCAGCGCGTGGTCGGTCAGAATTCTGCTGTGGTGCAATTACCAAAGAACAGTGAGTGTTTCTCAGAGTTTCTTTTATTCTTTTAATTGCAGGCCATCTACATATGCATTGATGCATTATCATTTGTCTGCATCTTGCCTATACAAGTCGATGCTCAGTTTCAGATATACACTGGCTATAAAAAGGTGTTTGGACATATCCTTATTTTCCAATAGTCCCTTCCTTTGTCAGATTCTATATTTCCTTTTCAAATGAAACAATTCCGTATGAAATTTTTATAATCATATGAGAATACTACCAAATGATATGAAATTTAATATAGTTACATGTAATTAATTAGTAGGAAAGTGTTGCAAAATGTTAGAATACAAATTTGTTATGTAAAATGATTGTGCAGGATCCACGAAATTATCGTACTTCACGAACTGGAGCGAATGGAGCGTGTGTGATCGACACTGTACGCAGAATCGTGTTCGAAGGTGTCGCGTGAAGAAAAAATGTAGCACCACAATACTTAGAGTGAGCTTTTAAATTATATTCTGTATTGCAATTAGTATTTTTTAGTTGGTCTCAGGCGTAGAGTATAATGGAATTCATTGTATTCTGTGTAGGAAGAACGAACCTGTCAGCATAACAGGAAGAGTAGGTGGAGGAGATGTAAGCAACATCAGCGACGAGGTCATCGACAGAAGGATAAATTTCATGTTGTACAGGTAAAATTTTAATGGTACATTTAATTGAAAAAATATATCATAGCCTCTATAAATTATCTAATTCCATATGGCAGGATTTTGTAGAGAAATTAATTGTAAATATTTGACGTTAGGTGCCTAGAAAGGAAGCAGAACCTAGGCAAGGGAGGCAGAGAGGCAAAGACCAAACCGTAGGATATTATGGCAAATGGAGTAGATGGTCACCCTGTACAAGATTATGTACCACTCAACGTCACAGGTGAGTATAACATCTACCAGTTAAAGAACCATAAATCTTGTTGAGGTATAAATATCCATATCTTCTATTTTTTCATTTAATGATCAAAAGGTGGTGCAAGAAACCTGGAATTTGCGGTCGCGACGTGATAAGGGAGAGTGCCTACTGTTACGTGGAGGGTAGCTTCTGCCAAAGATGGATTCATCGAAAAATTCGTGGAAGCCAAGAAGAGGATAGCGATGGTGAATATAGTAGCTGAATGTTCTGTTTAATTCTTCGAGGGAATATTCATCGCTTTCCATAATTACAGATATCGTATTAGACGAGTTCGAGTTGAATCCCAACACAGTCGATAGTTTTATTCCTGAAAAAAATTCTCATACTTGGAGATGTGGAGTTCCGAGCACTCAAAAGACATCTCGACTCTCCTATTTTACGAGGATCATCGGTGGCCGCCCATCGACTCCAGGAAGTTGGCCCTGGCAAGTTGCCGTGTTGAACAGATTTCGTGTGAGTTCGTCAATTAAAAATTTTAAATTGCTTTTTAATTTTGATTTATAAATGTAAATCTAATTATAAATTGTATCTTAATTGGCTCAATTAATTGCTAAAATAAAATTATTTTACAGGAGGCTTTCTGTGGAGGTACTTTGGTTTCACCAAGATGGGTATTAACAGCTGCACATTGTATTAGGAAACGACTTTATGTTCGCATTGGGGAACACGATCTGACTGTGAAAGAGGGCACTGAACTGGAATTAAGGGTATTTGGCGCGTATACACATTCGCGTATGTAATCTTTTACATTTTTGTCAATTAAATTTTTTATTCCTATTTTTCAGGTGGATTCGGTCACGATACATCCCGAATACGATGCAGACACAGTGGACAATGACGTCGCTATGCTGCGTCTTCCGGTTACTTTAACAGCATCACCGTCCAGAGGAATTGCTTGTCTTCCAGCGCCTAGCCAGCCTCTACCCGCCAATCAACTGTGCACCATTATTGGTTGGGGAAAATCGCGAGTCACCGATGACTACGGAACCGACGTTCTTCACGAGGCACGGGTACGTTACATTTAAGTATCACCGAATTTAATAGCGTTCACCCTTTTAAAGAAACGAAAAATTGAATTTCTTTCCACTGTCGAATTCTTGTTTCACAGTTTTTCAATTTAGTAAAACTCTAAGATATAATCACCTTTGGTATTAGAAGTACCAGTTTGGTTTTCCTGATATTCCTTTAAATATACCTTTGTTATATCTTAAAGACAGTCTGACTAAAGAACAGTTATTTGAAAAATGTTCTATAGCTTTGAATAGAAATTTTACTATTTTAGAATTCTCTACTATTATTTCGAACGAAAGTTTTTCTATGTAAGCCACGAACTTGAGAATACTTGTACTTATTAGTGAAAATAGTAATCTTTATTGATCTGCCAATGGACAAGTGCTCTAAAAAAATTAACCAAAAATTTATATCATTGTCTCTTGTTCATTTTCCATTTCAGATACCCATAGTTTCTTCAGAAGCATGTCGAAACGTCTACGTCGATTACAGAATCACCGATAACATGTTCTGCGCGGGATATCGTCGCGGGAAAATGGATTCATGCGCGGGTGACAGCGGAGGTCCGATTCTGTGTCAGGATCCCAGGAGACCCAATCGTCCGTGGACCATTTTTGGTATCACTAGTTTCGGCGAAGGTTGTGGCAAACGTGGAAAGTTCGGAATATACGCCAGACTATCGAACTACGTTCGTTGGATCAGTAAAGTGATGAAAGAAACTGATGATTATGATTGAAATCTTCACACCTTCACACACCTGTGTGTTTGGTTCTAATTATCGTGCTCAGTGATATTAACTGTGACCCGTAGTAACCTTTGAAATAATATCCAGCGTGCTTTAAACGCAATTAAATATGAGGACGATCCGAGCGATGGAGTAATCATTCTCATCATCATTGTTCCCTCGAAACGGATGCCATTTATTATTAATTTTCTCTCTCTCTCTCTACTGATACAGCATTACTTTGTATACCGTTAACAACGTCCGTTTTATACAAATAGACGACAACAATAAAAAGTAATGTAGTGTTGTTGTATAAGTTAGGACAAGTGTAACATTGTAGATAGTCTAAGGGAACAGAGCTATCGGTGATGAGAATCGACTGCCGACAATTTTCTATTTACTCTTAAGATCAGCAGGTAATGATGGGCTAGTGGCCACGTGTAGTCCCTGTGAGGCACGTAGGCATAGGTCAAAAAAGATGTGCATGAGCGTGTGTGTATGTGTGTGTGTTTGTAGCGAGTGCCTGCGTGAAGACAAGAGAGTCTTAGCCAGCGAATGTAAGCGAACGGAACAGCGAGTGTGAGCGACCGTCTCTTTTTGCCTAGCAATAAAATAATAGTTCAAGCTCTCGTAGTAGTCATCTATCATCCCTACAGTAATCGTTCGATTTACCATACAAAACAAGGGTGAATCTTCATGGAGAATCGAACACGAAACACAGCCGACGATCTCTTTCTTCCTCACATTCTTTATTCAAATTATACGAAATGTAACGTGAAAAAAATCATATAATATACATTTGTGCAGACCGATATTGTACTCGTTTTAGAGTACTAATCTAAACCGAACGCTTCGAAGATAATCGAAGGAAAAGAAAATGGAATTGTCAAGCGAGCGTTATTGAAAATCTAGAAAATTCTTTACCATGACCACGGATCCAGTCTTTGACTGGATCGTGGTGCCATCTCTTGAGCTTGGTAACATGCCCGGAACGCGTGATACGCAAACTAATTAGTGCAGACTATGTCGTGACGATTAACAAAGTACCATAAAGAGTTACACTGGATTCGCGAGGGCATATACCGATAATATTTTCCTTTTGTTTTTATATCATATTTTTCTCGTATCTTCTGCATAATCAGTTTTGTAAAACCTTGAACATTCGGTCATTTACAAATTGGTCGCATCGTTTTAGTTGAATTTGCACTTAGAGAAGTCCATCTCAGGATGCTGTTCCATGAACCTGAAAAACAAAAATTTACAACATTTAGATCTTTAACGTTAAGTTGATTTATAGCGAGTTTGTGATTGTTGTCTCGTACTTTTTGATCACATCTTGCTTCTTCTGTTCGTCGGACGTTGGCAGGCCCAGTTCCTTCTGTCTCTGATCGTACATCATCTTCTCCACCAGACCTCTGGTTTCACCGTCGAGATCGGAGAGTTTACTAGGCTCAGGATTCACTTTCTTCGTGCTGATCTCTGGGTCACAGGTCACCACATGCGCCCACCATTGCATTTTGTTCACCTGCGGAAAGAATAGGTGATTCCTGCTTTCAACCAACTGTTCGTTAAACAGAATCAGTGTTTAAAGAATCTCTGAATGTATTGGATTTATGTATAAAAGTTGAAAGTTAGAATATTTTCGAAGAACAACCTTTTTAAGTTAGATCGATAATAAAAGTATCGAAACACACCGTGTCATTTACTTAAATTTGTTTCTGATAAAAATTGAAAGTTAACTTGTGCAAACAGAGAGATAATCCAAAAAGTCCTACCTCACTCTTCATTAACTCGATAAACACAAAATCATCAATGAGATATCTATCATGATTAACCAATTATCGAAATATCAACAAACGCCACCGAATCCTGTCAATTAAAGATCAAGCAAACAGTTGCTTGTTAAATGGTCACGATTTAACCTTCGCCAAAATTTTTTATACACTGGCTTGATCATTCAGGGCCACGTCAAGTCAAACGAATTCTTTGCGTATTCGATACCATCGGACAGAATTCCCGCTAGCGCGATAGCATCGTCGAAATCCTCGTTTGGACAAGGTCGCGTGTCCAGGGGACCGAGGAACGAATGAAATTGGCATGTTTATTCGCATCACTTACCTTCTCCAGGTTGATCAACAGCAATTTTCCATCCTCGATCACCCAAGTGGATTCTTCCACTTTGACCTCGTGTGGAAAATCACCGTCGATGATCGGCGGCTGACCCTTG